TTCAATAACAAGCTGTGGTATTCACTCATGGATAAAACTTAAGGAATTTTTATATTACCATGTATATTGGGATTCAGACAATACCTCTGAAAGATATCACAGTGACCTTTATAATTTCATTAAACTACACTCATGGATAAAACTTGAGGAAGATGTAACTTAAAGCATGTATATTGGGATCCAGACAATAACTCTAAAAAATATTTGATATGCAGTGACCTTTATTGTGAATACACACGAGATAACCAAACGTGACAAAAAAACGTGGCAACAAGAGAGACTTTCTACCTCCTTATGTTCGTCCATGAGAGTATGTAAATATAAATTATTCAAATTGTTTGACAACATATTATATAAATGTGGTTTGCTATCAGATAATGCTGGGTGTTCTAGATCAATACTTTCAATAATAATTTCCAAACCAGAATTCCCTTTCTATCGAATTATGAACGGTTGATTCACCTAGGTAAGGGGTCGGTAAACTTTTATAAGACGGAAGAATCAAAAATTACAATTTACAAATTTTCAGTTTTCAAAGAGTCACTCAATTTTATTCTTACAGACAATAAATAGTACTCGCATAAATAATATTTTGATGCATTAGCGCGCCATCTGTTATCAAAATACGAAACTATTTTAGACGCTTATGATTCTTTTAAAAATAAAACAATTTATACTGCCCTTACTGCAATGGAAAAATTAATGGGAGGGTCTTGCTCATCAGTGGCGAACCCCCCCAGCAACATGGTAGATTAAACTGGCGAAACCGCTGAGAGGGTTCACCTCTGATGAGCCAGGCCCTCCCATTAATTTTTCCATTGTAGTAAGGGCAGTAGAAATTGTTTTATTTTAAAAGAATCATACGCGTCTAAAATAGTTTCGTATTTTGGTGAATAATATTTGCCTATGGGACTATATAAAGAGCCATAGTTTCACATCCAAATGACCGCATGTGACTCACGAGTTTGCCGACCTCTGGACTATCAGAATGTCCCCACTATGCGGTGAATAAAACATAACTACCTGGGGGAGGTATTGTCTCATGGGTGTTTTACTCTGCTGAGAGTTTATTACTGGCTTATTACAGACATAATAGGGTCGGTCTCCTATGTGTCATTCATTTCTGCATTTCAAGTAGTTCTGGAATGGTCTAAACCGTTGGTTTTCGACCGCTACGACCCGGGATCGAATCCCGCATTGGGTACTTTTTTCCAATTAAAAAATGCTCCAATGGCTCAGATTCTTGAAATATTCCAACATCACCAGTGAGTGCAAGTAACCAAACGGGGTTCTGGAACATTTGTAAGTGCAAAGTTGAACTGTTTTTCACATGTGTAGACATGTGGTGCACTTACAATAAAAGCAGTCGTCAACAACTTCCCACCATGATTATCATGGCCTATACCACGTGTACTAGGGATAAAAAGTAGTTCTTGATAACTCTTCTTTAAAATATTCTCTGAAAATGTCACATTGGGTCGCCACGAATATAAACCATAGATGTTTATCTAGTTGTCATGAGAGATATACCCGAGAAGTATGTATATAAATATGCAAATATATACATATTAAAAAACAAATATTACATTTCCTAACTGTTCACATGAATATTTTAGATGGAAGAGCGGTCAGGAATTTATATATATATTTTTAATATCAACACCTGATCCTTTTTAAAAGATTTTATTTAACTTGCTTTCCTGTTTGTCCGCCTGTCTGTCGGTCCACTAATTTTGCTACTATTTTGACCTACTATTTTCAAATTGCCTTTCAAATTTTGTAAATTAACTTTAATATACTTCCAGATAACATAGAAGTATGAAACTTTTAACTCTCACTCAGTCCAATGAACAATGCCAGTTTTCCAATTTTCAGACTTCTGGGTGGTCGGAGTGGCCAGGAATGAACACATTTCTATGTTTTATTTTTTAAGTCTTATGTTACGCCCCTTACATTGACCAATTCGCCGCAAGCAGGCTTCCTTCTATTTAAGGCCTAATCCCCAGTGAACTTTTGATTCTAAGTTTTGTAAATTCATGAGAAATCTAACTAAATAATTAATAAGTAAAAATACAGTTTAAAAAAAGCTTTTATTCAAATGCGCTAAAAAGGGGGAAAAATTAAAATATTGTATCTTCTGTCATTGAGCAGTTAGATGTATCTGAGTGAAAATATAAGCGACAGGGAACAATCATCATGAATTTCGAACCTAATGTGATTTTAGCGCGCGCTCTATCGCTGAAATTATAAACCTATTTATTTAGAGTGCTACTTTTCTTTAAAAAATATAATTAAAGGAGAATTTTCTCACCACTGATGAGCCATACCCTTAGTCTTTCATTTGTTTATTCGTCAGGATGAGAGCTGGAGAAATACATTTTAATTATATCGGTTTAATTAGAAAGAGAGCGTTGAAATTTATTTATAATTTTTAGCTATAGAGGGCGCTAAGTATTTATATATATGGGTATTTTCCGTTCTCCATTACTCTTCATGTTTCACCTTTCCATACCTCATCCTCAAAGTTAGAAATGTCGCTATTTCTCTTTGAAAATAAATTTCGATTTTTAAAAGAAACATTCGCGGTATAATTTTAATTTTCGTTTTTACAATCATCAGCCACGTTATATTGTATTTTAAATATGGGTATTTGGCCAAATTATAGAATAACAAAAAATCAACTAATAGTTGGCATTTATTCCGATAGATGGCGCAAGCCATCAGCAATTCTAAAAGTAAAAATAGTTTTACTCCCAGAGGCTTCTTGAAAAACCAAGAAATGGGTATTTAAGGCCAAACTTGTGTAAATACGCTTAACACAGAGAAAAAAAAAGATTTAAAAATATATAAATATAAAAAGGTCATGTGTTGATATTAAAAATAAAGAAGGCATTTCCTGATCAAATGTTTGGTCTCAGTGGTACAACCTGCTCCACGTTGACAAGCGCCAAAAGCGCGAAACGCTTTCGTGGATGGCTTTTCTTGATTTATCAAGAAATTGGGTTGGCCAAATATCGTGAAGCAAGTTAAATAAACATTTAGTTTATTTTTGCTCCACTAGATGACGCTCTGCCATATAAAGAGCACATATGCTTTTAGTCAGGATATGCCTTCTTAATTTTTAATATATATATATATATATATATATGAAAAAACGAAAGAAAAAAAAAATATATATATATATTTTTTAGGTGTTGAAATCAATATTAATTATATCGGTTTATAATTAAAAAGAGAGCGTTTAAATATATTGATAATTTTTAGCTATAGAGGGCGCTGAGTAATTATATATTTGGGTATTTGGCCAAATATCAGGGAACAGGCTAAATCAATGATTAGTTGATTTCTGTTCCACCAGATGGCACTCTGCCTTCTTCAGAGCACATGTGCTCCTGGTCAGGATATGCCATTTTTTAATATACACTGCGTGACATTGAAAATGGAACACCAAGAAATAGCTGCCAGAAAATTATGCAAATTTCAGGGTAGACGCGCCTAACCGAGTTATGCAAATGATGTAAAATGCGCAGCTCTCGTGCGCACATGGAGTAAGATATAAGGGAAGGAACTTGCAAAAAGGACAGTATTCATGTCGTTATTTCTTCAAGGAAAATCATTGTAGAAATTTTGTTCTTGTGTCAAAAGACACGTGTAATAACAGAGAATGCCAGGTCATCGTAAACGGAGGCAGTTCAAGCAGACAGACGCTTTTACGAGGGGCATGGTGATCGGACTGAAAAGGGCAGGTTGGTCCATACGTCAAATCGCAGCTGATACACACCTTGGTGCGTCCACGGTGCACCGACTGTGGAGAAGATGGTTGGAACAAGGAAATGTGGCAATTTATAGGAATGTCGGTGCAACCAGAGTGACGTCAGCACGTGTGGATCGTCGTATCCTTCGACAAGCAGTGGCGGCCCCACAAGACACTTGTACCGCCATCCTGCAACATGTGCAAGACACCCTAGATCATTCCATCTCGACCAGAACCATTTCCCGTCGATTGGTTGCTAATGGCTTGCACTCATGCCGTCCGCTAAGAAGACTGCCATTGACCCCACCGAATAGGCGCCAACGTTTGGAATGGTGCCGGGCTAGATCGACGTGGATGAGGGAATGGCACAGGGTCGTGTTCTCAGATGAGTCGCGTTTCTGCTTGTCCAGTGATAGTCACCGTGTACGCGTGTGGCGTCGACGTGGAGAAAGGTCCAATCCGGCAGCAATTGTGGAACGCCCCACCGTGCGACAACGTGGAATCATGGTTTGGGGCGCAATCGCGTATGATTCCAGGTCACCTTTACTTCGTATTCAGGGCACTATGACGGGCCAACGATACGTTGATGATGTGCTGCGACCGGTGACACTCCCCTACCTTCAGGGGGTACCCAATGCCCTTTATCAGCAGGATAACGCCCGACCGCACACTGCTCGCATTAGCCAACAAGCTCTGCAAGATGTACAGATGCTTCCCTGGCCACCGTACTCTCCTGATCTCTCACCAATCGAGCACGTCTGGGACATCATTGGACGCCGTTTGCATGCCTTGCCACAGCCGCGTTCAGAAGACGAACTGTGGCAAATGGTTGGGAGGGAATGGAGAGCCATCCCTCAGGACGCCATCCGTACTCTGATTGACTCTCTACCTAGACGTGTTGCTGCGTGCATCGCCGTCCGCGGTGGTCCTACTTGCTACTAAGCCGACGCCGTTCTCGCTCTGTATTATGACTATCATTTTGAAATAAAGATCACTTATTGTTCGTCCCTGTCTCTCTCTGTCTGCCGAGTTTCATCACTTTCTGGCCACTATTTCTTGGTGTTCCATTTTCAATGTCACGCAGTGTATATATATATGTAGAACGAAAATTGCAATTATACCGCAAATGTTTCTTCTGAACGAGAAATCGAAATTATTTTAAGGAGAAATAGCGATTATTTCTAACCTTAGGGATGAAATATGAAAGGATGAATTGTGAAGAGTAATGATAAACGGTAAAATAAAGTGTCCAGGAAGGGTGAACGAACCCACAGTGTTCCGCTTACCGGGCAGATGCCATGTCCACTAGGCTACCCTGGACATATTTTTACGTTCGTAAATATTATATAAAGTAATTTATAATACAATATAATGCGGCTTATGATTGTAAAACGAAAATTGCAATTATACCGCAAATGTTTCTTCTGAACGAAATATCGAAATTCATCCTATCATACTTCATCCCTAAGGTTAGAAATAATCGCTATTTCTCCTTAAATAATTTCGATATTTCGTTTAGAAGAAACATTTGCGGTATAATTGCAATTTTCGTTCTAAAATCATAAGCCGCATTATATTGTATTATATATATGTTGTGGCTTTGTCACTGTCCCGAGGCCGCTAGTTTGCGGTGACGGTCAATATATGGCGTCAGGTTTTGACGGGAGAGGCGACCTTTGTATCTTCATATATATACATACAATATTGTTTGCCTCTCTGTCTATCAGTTAAATTAAAAAGTCACCTTACATGTAGTAGTAATAGTACATATTTTTAAACACTCAATTAGAACCCTAACATTCCACTAACATAACCCGGAAAAAGTACATTTACCTAAGAAATTCTCATCGAATTTTAAGACTCAATTCTTTTTATTATCTTCACCATAATTTTTTGGAATTACACTCCGCCTATCATGATGATAACTATCTCGATTAATGGTTAATTACTGTTAATTATATAGGGTCAATGTAGGGTAATGAGGTTTTAAATAGCTTTGATAACATGTCGCTTCACACTTCTTTTACAATTTGATGCCCACCTATTCCACTTTGTTATAATGGATATCAACAGGCTTCCAGAATGTTCATCAGTTGTGGCCATGTCTTCCTGCTGCTCAAATATTCTGTTGTTTGTATTCATGATAGAATATAGTATTATCTTTTATTTTTTTTCATGTGTTAAGCGTATTTACGCAGGTTTGGCCTTAAATACCCATTTCATAGTTTTTCAGGAAGTCACTGGGACCAAAAATATTTTTTGGTTGCAGTGGTACAGCCTTCTCCACGCTGACGAGCGCCAAGAGCGCGAAACGCGTTCGTGGATGGCTTTTCTTGATTTATCAATAAATTGGGTTGGTCAAATATCAGGGAACAGGTTAAATCAATGAATAGTTGATTTCTGTTCCACCAGATGGCGCTCTGCCTTCTAAAAAGCGCATGTGCTCCTGGTCAGGATATGCCTATTTTGTTTTTAGAATATAGTTTATTCAGATTTTTCAAACTGAAACATATTTACAAAGAGGCATACGACGTTACAACTATTTTATATTAATGATATAAAGTAGCTTTGAATTCCTTGATGTCATGCTACTCTTATTCTGCACAAATATATTTGTAAAAATCGCATCAATATATCGTTCTTTAAATATGAAATATGATAATTTTGTATATTTATAAATTCACGTGTCTTTATGAATCTGTCTAAAAATGTAGCGCTGCAATATTTAATGAATGTATTTTTAAAAAATAAGGGAATAAATATAAATATTAATTATACACATACATACACAGATTTGAAAGTACAATGTCAAATGAACAGTCCAGTTTAAACCGAATGGTTTCCAGTAAAGAATAATATAGAATTTTAACAAATTCTGTAGACTCTATCTCAACTACCGTGGACCTGAATTCCATTAATGAATTGAATCTTGGTCCCCAGAATTTCCTATAAATAGAATTTCCGTTTTTAATTCGAATTTTTGGATAATTCGATTTTTTTGTCACTTGGGCTTCGGATTATCCAAATTCGACTGTTTTATGTTTAATATCATAATTAACATAGGTTCAGCTTTTTAACACTATTTGAAGAAACCCAATATATTTCATATAATTTTATATTTATAAATAATAAATATAATCAGAACAAGAATCAGAACTAAGCCACTTGTGAACAAACTACCTAGCGTGCTATCAGCCTTGAAAGGAACTTGACACCGATCAATAGACAGATGCACACAGCTTGAAGAACACACAGAACTAGCCGAAGAATTCAAGCCGTCCACTATAAAGATGTTTGTCAACTGAGTCTATTTTTAAAAATGAAAATTATTGACAAAAATGGGTTTTGTACGAACTGAATGAAATTAAGAGCAATCAAAGTTTGAAAGCGCCGTCCATACTACCAAAATAAAGTTTCACTACGACATTGTGACTTAAAATGGATTCTTTCTGACAACCGGCGTTGGAACTTTCAAGGTAAACTAGTTTATTCTCGATGAATACGGTAAAAATGGGTTTGAATATATTTTATTAATTGAAATTATCCGGTATCATAGATTTCAAAAATATTCAAGTCTGAAACAAGACTTGTGAACCACGACGTAACACCGAAATCAAAACCAATATTCCACCAGATGAAGGTAATATGAGGGTCTAAAGATACCCCCCAGTGTCCTGAATCCAAACCAAACCATCATATCGGGGTAGGTAGATTTGTCAAATATAAAAAAAAATACACTAAAACCTCCGCCAGTCTGCTCAGTATTGACCAACAGAACATTTATCTCCACAACACCGACCAGCCACACGTCTCAATGATGACACGACAAAAGTTGCATGAGTTGGATTATGAAACTCTTAACTACCTACCAGATTTGCATAGCAGCCACCATTTCAAGCAACTCGACCTCTACCTACGCAAAGGGCTGATGCCGAAACCGCCCTCAATGAGTTCATTGACCTCAGAATTCCAGAAATTTATATAACCAAAAAAAAAAAAAAAAAACAAGCATGTTAAACATTTGCATATGTATAGATTCTAATGATTTAAATTGATAAATTTTGACTAAAGTGGAATTTTGACTATAAAATTCATTTTTAGAAATCTTTTAAAATGTGTATATCAATCAAATATATGATACATTAGCGCTCCATCTGTTATGTGATTTCGAAACTATTATAGACGCGTATGATTCTTTTTCAAACAATAAACAATTTTCTACTGTTCTTACTACAATTACAGATTAATGGGAGAGCCTGGATAATCAGTGGTGAACCCTCCCAGCGGTTTCGCCAGTAGAATGCAATATAGCAGCGGTATGGTAGATTAAATTGGCGAAACCGCTGGGAGGGTTCACCACTGATGAGTCATGCCCTCCTATTAATTTTTCATTATAGTAAAGACATTCGAAAATTGTTTAAATAGAAAAAAAAGGATCATATGCGTCTATAATATAATTTAGAATTCTCAATCTAATATAGAATGAGGAATTATAATATTCAGTAGTTGCTGGTTGTCAAAAACGTTTGAGTTTCCACAATGTAACTTGAGCGTACACCACCGCAGGTTCCATTCACACGGAGTTCAAGTCCCGTAAATCTTAGCGATAAGATAATGGCGTCTAGATCACTGAGTGGCAATTAGGCCGTTTTATGGGCTGGCCGGGCGGATTCTTCCGCCGTCTCCAGAGAAGGAATTTCATTAAACTTCCATTATTGTCTGTCTTGATGGACCCCCACACGCACATGTTTAGCTAACACCTCGTTTTTGTCACTACATTATGTGTGCTTGGTATCGAAATCACTTCTATAGATGTTTTTTTTCTTTTATTTTGAGAAAGTGTTAGGATGAGAGTTAAACTTAATTTGTCTGTTATTGGCGGAATGTCATTGGCATGGAGGATCGGTGGAAGGATGGTCTAAACCGTTGGTTTTCGACGGCTACGCACGAGATCGAATCCCACATTGTGCACTTTTTTTATAATTAAAAAATGCTCCAATCGCCCCCGATTCTTGAAAAATTCCAAACCCACCAGCGAGTGCAAGTAAAACAAACGGGCTCTGGCACATTTGTAGGCGCAAAAGTCGAGCTGCTTTTCATATGTGTGGACATGAGGCGCACTTACAGTAAAAGCAGTCACCTACTTCTACCCATCATGATTATCATCATCACGTATACTAAGGATATATTTTTTAAATGTGCCTAGCGTTTTTTTCAATGTTCTACGAGTGCAGAATTCTCAATTTTATCCTAATTTTAAAGATATTCATAGTTTTACATTATTTCTACTGCTTACTTTCTGTACTAGAGATTATTAAAAAAATTACATTGGCATTCGAATCAGTCCTTGGTGACATGGGGGACATTCTTTTGACGAAGTCGGCACTACATCACAGACTCTTTTTCCTATGGCTAATCTTTATCTTAAACTGAGGTGTACAGTAAACGGTCATTGATTTCTAATTTAGGAATAGAATAAGTCACATGAAAATAAGGACTTTACTATCAAACTCCAATAAGGAAATTTAACCAGAAACTTAAATGATCTCTTTCGAACATATATCTCAATTAAATCATTAACTGGAATAGAGAGAGTGAGTTCAAACTTTAGGTATAAATTCACATATTTATAAAATATATCAAACCGTATAATTCAATATTCAAATAAAAAATGACATTTCTTGGATAGAAAAATAAACTGGGTTATTGCATGATATTTTGAAGATCAGAGCGTTCATCTTTTACTGAAGCTTTCGAAAAAAAAATTATGATCGTTGAAATATCACGCAATATACTCAGTTTAGTTATCCATCCAAGATGTGTCAATTTTATTATTTCATATTTCTTGAAAATCAAGATACTTCGGCCAGTAAATCTTTTTATTACCTCGACGTTTCGACAAAAATATTTTGTCCTCGTCAAGAGCAAACAGAAATTAAACATTCAGCAAGGCGTTAAAAATCTTTCTATATAGAAAGAAAAATTTTTAACGCCTTGCTGAATGTTTACTTTTTGTTTGCTCTTGACGAGGACAAAATATTTTTGTCGAAACGTCGAGGAAATAAAAAAGATTTACTGGCCGAAGTATCTTCATTTTCAAGAAATATGAATGCCGGTCAGGCAGCCTCAATATTTACGATTTATAATTTCAATTATATTTATTATTCTATGTGTGATCCTTGTTAACTTCTTACTATAGGTTTTATTTGTCCACAGTTTCTCTTTTCTCTTCTTCTACTCATGGCTGGCTTCCAACCCTACTACATCTATCTTTATATAATATATAAGCATCAATCGTTCTCTTTTATTCTTTATTCCTGT